GTTGAATTCACTCCATTCTCGCTAATAATTACTTTTACTCTCCAGAGTATTAGATATTCCTCGGGGAGGGGTTGACCCTATTCCATTCTCGCTAATAACTTACTTTTTTCCACAGACGTCACACACTCACCCCAGAATACTCGATATTCCTCGGGGCGGGGTTGAACAACAAAAGCACGCCTTTCAACCTAATAAACTACATTCATTCCAATAAATTAACATAAACACAACGCAAACACACATAAACATATATAAACTATATACATTTAAAAATCTCTACAGACCTGAGGTACGTATCTGTTCACCGCGTTGCACGAAGACTACTCACTTATCATGTTCAAGTATTTAAATTTATTTTTTGCATATTTATTTTTAAATCAAATAAATATGCTGTCTTTATGTTCTGATGTTCGTACAAATGCTGGTATAAATAAACGGTGAATTTTCCCAATTAGGTTATTCACTTTGAAATTTCACCTCTGGTAGAAAGGACAGTTCATGTCGGCGAGGGTTAATATTGGACGTAAATTTTTTTTAGCATATTACAGAATTGCCCCAATCACGCGATTTTCCACTTCAGGGAATTATTTAACCACATTTTTATTATACCCCATTCAAGGTATGGACAGCTGAAATAATTCGAAATAAAACTCGGCGACATTCTAGCGCGTAATACATTATATATTATGTATATTACATATTATATAATATATTATATATTCTAATATTATATTATATTAATATATATTATATATTACGCGTATATATATTATTAAATATAAATATATTTCGATTAAATAAATCCTCGCTTGACCTGATAATACACTGTTTTGTACTTGGTGTATCTTTTCAAACTGGACATTTTCAGTTCCCTACCAGTTGTCAAGGCGTTTTGAGTGACTTCAATTGGCAACGAGAATTCATACTAATTTAAAACACTTGACACTGGTCAGGCCATCTAAGGATTCTCTTTTGATTGAATTATGCTTAAGAGTTTTAACGGCCAGAACGGTAGTCATTATTTCGGATTCTCAATTAAAATAAAGCTGACTTATTTTGTACTGTTTTTTAAATCGTGCTTCACTATTTTCAGTAATAATAGTTTGGGTTTGATGGAGGTGTTTTTCACTGTAGATCATTCTGGCTATTACAACGCTGGTTTTTCTGCGCACAGACACACATTTCCTAGCACGAGCAGTCTTATACAGGGTGACCTTTGAACCAAAGACGCTGTAAAAAAAATTTAGTATTGTTTAACATTTTTTGGAGAACAATTATTGACACATCATTTTAAAGGATGTGTGTGGTGTTAGTGAACGTTAGTTAATGATTATTTGGAGGTCGTGAGATGCGGTCCAGTGTGACGTAGGTTTTAGAAAAATATTTTCTTTATCGTGCCAACGTTTCGATCTTTATTGAGATCTAAAGGACCTGGGATTTATAAACATTGTTTAACTGTTACAAATATATGTAGGATGTCAAAAAAATGACAATGCTAGAAAATGTTAGGTTAAAAAAATGAATTTATACAATGCTAGAAAACTTTAGATTAAAAAAATGAAGTTATACAATGCTAAAAAAATTTGGATAAAAAAATGAATTTATACAATGTTAGAAAACTTTAGATTAGAAAAATGAAGTTATACAATGCTAAAAAAATTGAGATAAAAAATGGATTTATACAATGCTAAAAAATTTGGATTAAAAAAATGAATTTATACAAAGCTAGAAAACTAGATTTAAAAAAAATGCATTTATACAATGCTAAAAAAATGTAGATAAAAAAGTGAGTACAAGCACTTCGCTAAAAAATTTCTAGCATTGTATAAATTCATTTATTTTCATCTAAAATTTTCTAGCATTGTATTAATTCATTATTTTTAATCTAAAGTTTTCTAGCATTGTATAAATTCATTATTTAAAAAAAAATCTTTTTAAATCTTTCCAATTCACCGCTGCTCTAATCAATTAAGTATCGTCTTCAGAAGTCGTAAGCGGAGCATTAAGCCGACGGTCGAGGGTTCGAATCCAGCTTGTGACACTAATTTTTTCATCTTTACCAAGACCTTACGTAAAACGTAATAATTAATTAGAATGTTTGAACTAAAGATTACACATTTTAGCCAAGAATCTGCGATCAAGATAAACTGTAATTTTTTATATTTTTAAATATTCCCATTTCAAAATTATTTTATGTTCAATCTATGTAAATTTGTCTGTCCGGTCGTTTATGGTGTAGGATAAACCGCTTGATATATTTGTTTGTGCATGGCTGATAAAATACCTAATAATCAACTGCTGCATTTATTTACATTGGGATTAAACTAACCATCAGATCTACGGTGGTTAAACTGTGTTAATGTACATTATTCGCCTGCTTCGTTTACAGTTGAAAATGGAAATTTTTTAAACAGTTTGAATTATTTTTTGAATTATTTATGTGAACGAAGGAGCATTCTGTCTCACAACATAAGTAAGTATTGGATTGATGCAAAACTAAATGTAGTTTTTCCTTTTCGCTTCACTTGTAATACCAATTGAGTAAACAAAACTTATCCACTACGCTAAGGGTTATACTTAATTTTAAAGCCTATTTATCTCGCTTTCTTTTTCTTACAATCCTTTTAGTTAAAAACATTTATTTCAGCCTGTTCAGTGCCTTTAAACAAAACGATGTCCAACAGCGATTTTCGGCAAATTTATTTCTATGAATTTAAACCTGGGCGATGTGCAGCGCAAATCGGTCGAAATAGTAATGACATTTGGGGCAAGGAACCATAAATTAATCCACAGTGCAGCGTTGGTTTCAAAAATTCCGGAATGGAGGTACCTCACGAGCAAAGAGGGTGGTGGCCATCCGGTTGCTATCAACGACCAGTTAAAGGCTATAGTTGAAGCTGACCCCACTAAAACGGCGGAAGAATTTGGTGTTGACCAATACACAGTCTCTGGTCATCTGGAATCTATCGGGAAAGCAAAGAAGCTCTCCCTGTGGATTCCGCATGATCTGAACGACCATCAAAAGCATCGCAGGTATGACATCTGTTCAATGCTTTCCGCAACACAAATAATCCATTTCTCAATCGTAACGTGTGACGAAAAATGGATATTATACGACAATAGACAGTGTTTGGATAAGAGTGAAAAACCAGGGAATTGCCAAAGCCAAGTTTACATCCAAAAAAATTACTGGTCTCTGTCTGGTGGTCATCTGCAGGAGTAATTCGCTAAAGCTTCCTCAGGGTTGCAACCATCAGTGCTGAAAAGTACTGTAATGAAATTAATGATATGGTTCGAAAACTGCGACATGGCCAGGATTAATCATTCGGAAGGGGCCTATCCTCCACGCCCACACGTCGCACAACTGACTCTGGCAAGACCTCACGAGTTGGGCTACCACTTCCACCATACTCACCGGATCTTTCTCCCACAGATTATCACTTTTTTTAAACATCTCAACAACTTTTTGTGCGTGAAAAGGTTCAGAAGCCAGAATGACATTGTAAATGGATTTCGGTAGTTCGTCCATTCCTGAGACCCCATTGTTGAAGTTAAATTGTATCTTGTTTTACTGAACATCAAAAACCTGCATTATTTTTGCATATGCCCAGTACTTAATCCATTATATTTCGTGGTCCGATTGACCAAATAACTTTTTCAATTAATTAATCTTTATGTAAGGTATTGGTTGAATTGAAAAAGCTAGTGTCACGAGCGGGATTCGAACCCACGACCTTGGGCTCAATACGCCGCTGCTCTAACCACTTGATCACGATAGCTCCAATACTTAATGCTGGATTTCGTTCAGACGGGATGCGCCTTCGTTCACATAAATAATTAAAAAAATAATTCAACTGTTTAAAAAAAAGTTCTATTCTCAACTGTAAACGAAGCAGGCGAATAATAACGGTAACACTGTTAACCGTAGATCTGATGTTTAAAGATCATCAACCCAATATAATAATTTTTGTGTAGAAAATGTCAATGTGTTTATTTGTTTGTATGAAATTAATTGCTAGTAAATGTTACATATAATAAAAATTATATGCGTGCTATTCAGTGTTTTATTGCAATTTTATGTCCCCCGATTTGTTTTTCGATTTATCTGATTAGCGTCCGAAGTTATTCTTTCCCTTTTGCATTCCGCCCCTTTCACAAAGTGGTATCACGCCTCGTGGAAAAAAATAGACATAGATAGATAAATAAATAACGAATCCTTTCTCAAGTTGTTTTACCCGTCAAATCGATCCGGCCCGTATCACATATTTAGTTGTCGAGAGTAAATCGAACGTTAGAGTGGCCCCGGTGGATTTCCGTCGAGCTCTTCACTTCAACCCCTAATGGAAGGGGTGGTTCAAAGAGAAGGTAATTTCGCAATATGAGTCAGTTTCTCTATTACCCTACGACATTCATCGTCCCTCGCACAACTAATTTTCATATTCTGCGCTTATGGCGGCCTTGGGAAAATTTAAGGCTTTGCCTATCAAAATCGAAATCACTATCCATTTAAGGTTTCGTAATCAATTGACTAAGATACTGTTTTTAATCAATTAATTATTCTTTCTAAGGCCGTGGTTTAGATAAAAAAGTCAGTGTCACGAGCGGGATTCGAACCCACGTAGTGTCGTGTAGGTTGAGATGGAGAGTTGGTGTCCGAAGGTCGTGGGTTCGAATCCCGCTTTTTTTGTATCTCAACCAAGATCTTAGAAAGAATAATTAATTGATTGAAAGTTTTCACTATACCCAGTTATACACAATTTTTTTTCCACAAATTTTGATTCTGCGTATCAGAAAAGTATCAGAAAGGCCTGAACGCAATTTATTTTTCTCCGGTGCAGAATTAAGGTACCGGTCGAGTACGATTGACGTTTTCGTCGACAACCCTTGGTTATAAATTTTACAATTTTACGATTGTGTAATTATTCAATCCGCTGTACAATCACGAAAATTTTCACGTACAAGTTATGTTAGAAAAATATTTATGTATTTTTCTTTTGCAGGTTTGTTCATCCGAATGAAGGACAGCATACAACCGATAATTACATTTTGATTTTATGGTAAGTTACAAGTTTTCAATATATTAATATATTTCTCATGTATCGTCGTTGTTGCCACTGTTATCACTTCTACCGAAAATATTATATTTCATACTTAAACATTATGTTGTATTGAGTAATAAAAACCGTACCGATTTTCAAAAATATTATGCTTAATTCGAATTTAGCAACAAGCCACACCAGTAGAAAAAAAATCAAAACATTTGCGCTAAAACAACTAATAAATATAGTTTATTTTTAAGATGTTATTATATGTATTTTTACCTTCATATTTATATAAAGTACTTCTGACCCACCTGCACATTATATTGCATATATCCTTAACATTTCCTATGCGGAAGATATCGCAATTTTGTCCTCTAGTCATGCTACCTCCAACGTCCAAGAATACCTTGAGCTTGTCAAAGACTGGTGCTAAAATTGTTGGATCACACTGGACAACAACATAACAGAAGACTTGGACAACACGGTTTTTTAACCTGCGCACCTGGCACATGACCTTATCACACGTTTAGATTCTCAAGATAGGAGCGACTCACCTCCGCTCACGGTGTGTTGTGTTAATCAGCCACCGAATCCACAGACTAATCATACAGACATGACGACTTCCGAGGAGATGGGTTAACATCCATGCACCTACGTTCTGCCGCGCAGAAAGGGATACTAAAATATTAAAAAATGGGCTGAAATGCATCCCGCTGCACTCCCTAGATAGAGAAGAAAACTATCTCCCTCATTGTAGGGGGCCCACTAGGGCGAAACTACCGGATCCGCTATGTTCGCTGTTTCGTTTAAAGTGGAATTCGTACCAACCAACTAGAGGAGACTGCTTTCGGTAAAGGACGTATTTAGTGTACGTTCACATTGAGAAAACGTTCTTGCCATCCATTGTACACCACAACAAAGAGATACCCACTTCCATTCAAGTCACATACTTAGAACTGTACTTAGTCAGCAGACTGACTTGTAATCTCCATAGATGCTTTTACCGACGACAACTCAACAGAAGACTTGGACCACCTGGAGGAGACTGCTTTCGGTAAAGGAAGCCTATAAAGGCACCACCGAACAACAGTACCCGCCAGGAATCTCACCAACGCCAACGACGATTCCATTCCCAAAGACCGTGCTATGGTCTTGGAACTTGAATTGAAACACTGTTATCCCGTCGTTCAGTTGGTGCAGACAAGACAACCCTAACCCCGTATGCCACTGATCAAGCACCCGTCTTCCGCGGCCGGCTTACAATCCTTAAAACATTCGGGGGACTCTAGGCGTAGACTTCGCATATTTACATGCTATACGCTTCCTTCCTCCGATGTTCTATGCACGCGGAGGGAGCTTACAGAGATCATGCACGCTGGGAAAAACGAAAACAGCTTGTGTTTTAGAAAGTGCGACACGCTCTCAAAGCTACACCATAATTTTTTACCTGGAAACCTCATTGCATTGAAAGGTTGGGAAGTGACTAGGAGTCTCTTAAAGTCCCAGGGAAATAGATTGAAAAGGACGTGCCGAGACCCGAGGCTTACTTTTCAGGATACACACACTGTCTCTAACACGACCTACCGCTCATTGTTCCCGTGATCCTAAAAGTAAAACAACCCTAAATGTATTCAGTGTACTGCACATTGAAAAACAGCCCTCCACTCTACGTCATCAACAAAGAGAAAGAGAGCTCCATTCAAGTCAAATACTTCAGAATTTACCTAGGCAGCAGACTGACATGGAATCCCAACACTAGACTGAAGAGACAACGACATATCAGAAGACTTGGACAATTTCTAGGTCCAAAATCGACACGAAACCAACCTTATACAAGACTTCACTGCGACCATTTTGCGCATATGGAACTGTCAGGTTTTGCCAAGCCATCCGACATCCCGCGAATCAAACGTCCTCAGGCAAATCGACAAAGCTCATTTCTACTTCACTAATAGCACTATTATCTAACCTCAACATTACTTTTACCAACGGACTAATTCGTTCCCGAATCCAAAAGTTTTACACCAACCATTCATATTTTCCATTCATCGCAACCCTAATGTTGTAGCCCAATCACATTAATCGACAATGACGCCGAGAACTCTTTGCCCCTCAATCCTTCATATTGAGTGCCAGAATTGGCTGGTATTATGTACAAATATGTATAGGCTATAAATTAAAAAAAATCATTTTAACTTCATACTATAACCAGTTTCTATAAGTGAAGGCTAATATAAACTGCATGTTTTTATTTATTGTTTATTTCAATTATTTATTGTAGGCTCTTTTAGTTTTTGATATTTCAAGGATTTAACGAACTAGGCAGTGTTATAATTAAATATAAATTATGATGGATTTAATTAATTATTAGGTAATACGTTCTTGATTATAAAAATTAATCTGTTTTGTAATGAAAACAATTTTTTTGAGAATGCAATCTTATGACCTTTATTATCCTAAAATGTGGTTTTAGGATGTTTTTTCGTTTTGTATTGGATCGTGTTTTTTCCTGCTTCAATGAATTTTAATGGTGGAAACAAACGTTTACGTAACCTTGTTATCGTGTCACAGTCTTTGAGTATCGACTTAAGATTATTGTATTTAAATTCTTTAGTCTGGGGGGATATAAAAAGTACAACTATATTTAAGTGTTTCAAAGAGGGTGAGAGTGAAACACAAAATGAGCAAAACACTCGCGCTCGGACACAATCGTTTAATTGTTTAAAACAACATCATCTTGAAGTGGGCAAATACTCTACATGAAGATATTTCTGATTATGGCACTTAAAATGAATTGTTGGAAGAGTAGATGTAGATACAGTTAGTAGGTCAGAAGGTATAATGTACAGGAATATTTATGAAGGGGCAAGTGAATATATTCAAGAAAAACAATTAGATCTGTTCTTTTATGTTTTGATTTCTTAATTATGTTTACTGTTATCGGTTGGTTTTATAATGATTCGCAACACTAGATTTGTTTTTAGGGCACTCAACCTCGCAAATTATTAGATATGTATCCAAGTATCCTTAGAAAGTGTGTAGGTCTTAAACAAGGAAAGAATTGTACCTCACTCAGTTTCTCTCTCTCTCTCTCTCTCTCTCTCTCTCTCTCTCGTCATTCTTCCACTCACTCACTTAGTCTCTCTCTAATTGCCTGTCGTTCTTATACTCACCTCATTCAGACCCTCATTCCCTCTTACACTCAGTCTCTCTCTGCCTTTCTTCCACTTTCTCTCGTCCACTAAGTCTCTCTCTCTCTCACTCACTCACTCACTCACTCACTCACTCTCTCTCTCTCTCTCTCTTTCTCTCTCTCTGCCTTTTTTCCACTTACTCACTTAGTCTGTAATTCTCTGTCTTTCTTCCAATCACTCACTCAGTCCCTCATTCCCTCTTCCACTCAGTCTTTCTCTGCCTTTCTTCCACTTTCCCCCTTCCACTCAGTCTCTCTCACCCTCTCCCTCTCTCCCTCTCCCTCTCTCCNCTCTCTCTCTCTCTCTCTCTCTCTCTCTCTCTCTCTGCCTTTTTTACACTCACTCACTTTGTCTCTTTCTCTCTGTCTCTCTCTTTTTTCTGTTTTTCTTCCACTCACTCACTCAGTCCCTCATTCTCTCTTCCACTCAGTTTCTTTTTCTCCTCTTTCTTCCACTTACTCGCTCAGTCCCTCATTCTCTCTTCCACTCAGTCATCCTCTCACATTCTCTCTTCCACTCACTCACATAGTCTCTCTCTCTCTCTCTCTCTCTCTCTCTCTCTCTCTCTCTCTCTATCTATCTATCTATCTATCTATCTATCTATCTATCTATCTATCTATCTATCTATCTATCTATTTATCCATCTATCTACACACATGCATATATATTTTATTTCAGGTTAATTAGTTTGAAAATATATCAAGAGAATAATATATTGTTATATTATTCATTACGTGCTTTATACAACTCTAAAACTGAATGAAAGTATATTTACAACTTACCGTTAGTGAAGTTAGATTGTCGTATTGTGCATAATTTACTGTTATGGGCGTTATATGTTACATTATCGCCGTCACATAGATAAGTCTGTTTTTGAGCAAATATTCAAATTTTCCCATTCTTTCCACAAAAAAACCTCCATTCTTTACTTTGTGACTTAGGTACAGCAGTTTTGGAATATGGGATTTATTTCCAAAGTTCGTAATAAAATTCACCTCCGGGCCTCCTATAAGTTGTAAAAGGTGTCAAAGGCATCTGCAATGTCTGAACAACAGAGAAAGGGGAAGGAAGATATACGCAGGCCGTTCGGGATAAAACGCGTTGCACAACCCCTTGGGGAACCCAGAGTTATACACGCATATCCCTTCGCGCTCCATTTCACCCTTCCCTGCTTATATTTTTTTTCTATTGGTTTGATATCTCTTCCCGAGTTTTTAATCATTTCTGGGACATTTGTTCAGTTTGAAAATAACATTTTCAGATAATGCATGCGCGATGTTTACTTCACGAAGACATAAAAATAACAACTCTTCTGCTTTGTAAGTTATTTCTCCACTGGCTTTTTCATGAACCATCTTTCCATTAAATTGCTGTAAACCAATCACGCTGATAATTCATAAACGCTACGTCGCTTTTGAGTCACAACGTTCGAAATCTGCATGTTTCATCGCACGTGCTTGACCGAATTTTAAAAATGTATTTTTATGTATGCTTGTTTGTTGTTATGATATATAGATGTTTTTGCTGGCTTTGCGCCCTCGACGTTATACCCGGGTGTGGTCTGTGAATACAAAATGAGGGTTGTGTGTCTGCAGAACGTTCATCATTCATTTTGTTAACTTTTGTGCGTTGTATTTATTTGGTCAATACTCAGCTAACTTTTGGTCATGAATGCTTAATACTAATTCGTCCTGTTTTGAAAATTTACCGATTTCGAAAAACTTCAAAAGGGGACAATCGTCAATAATCTCGCGAGTTCTTAAATTTTTAAAACATGAAAAAATTCAGATTATAAAAACTTTCTAACCTTTTCCAATTTCA